CGGGCACGATGTGGCTGGGCGCGGGCAGCGCGGGCACGCCGCGGTCGCGCAGCAGCACCCGCAGGTGCTTGGCGTTGCGCTGGTGCGAGCGGCGCAGGGCGCCCCCCTCGGGGCCCCCCAAGACCCTCAGGGCCGCCAGGGCCCCCCCGACCACCGCGGGGGGCAGCGCCGTGGTGAAGATGAAGCCGGGGCCGAAGGAGCGCACGGCGTCCACCAGGGCGGAGCCCCCCGCGATGTAGCCCCCCACGGCCCCCAGCGCCTTCCCTGCGGGGCCGGGGGGCACCCCCAAGTCAGCAGCGAGCCCCCCGAAACCGGACAGAGACCCCCGAGCCCCGAGGACACCCCCAGACCCCCCTGCCACAGTGTACACCCGTGTGGTCCCTGCCCCTCCCACCTTTTGGGGTGTCCCCCCCGTTTTTGGGGTGTCCGCTCCCCATTTCTGGAGTGTCCTCCCCGTTTTTGGGGTCCCTCCCCCCCCCATTTTTGGGGTCCCTCCCCCTATTTTCGGCGTTCTCCTCCCCATTACGGTGCCCCCCCATCCCGAGGGTCCCCGACACCCCAAGCTCCATTCCCCCCCATTTTCAGGGTCCCCCTCCCCATTTCGGGGTCCCCCTCCCTATTTCGGGGTCCCCCCGTCCCGAGGGTCCCGGACACCCCAAGCTCCATTCCCCCCCAATTTTGGGGTCCCCCTCCCCATTTTCGGGGTCCCCCCCGTACCGAGGGTCCCGGACACCCCAAGCTCCGTTCCCTCCCCATTTTCAGGGTCCCCTCCCCATCTCGGGGTCCCCCTCCCCATCTCGTGCCCGTACCGAGGGTCCCGGACACCACGTCCACCTTGCCGCAGACCCCGTCCCTCTCGGCGATGCCGCCGCCCCGGGGCCCGTAGAGCCCCACGGCGTGAACCTCGTCCACGAAGGTCAGCGCGCCGTGGGCGTGCGCCACGTCACACAGCTCGGCCAGCGGCGCGATGGAGCCTGCCCGGGGAAATTCGGGGAAATTCGGGGGGTTTCGGGGGGTTTAGGGGGATTTGGGTGTTTTGAATTCGGGGGGGGTTTTGGGGGGTTTTGCGGGGATTTGTGGGATTTTGCGGGAATTTAGGGAGGTCTGGGAGGATTTTGGGGAAATTTTGGGTGGAGATTCGGGGGAATTTTAGGGAGGTTTGGGAGGGATTTGAGGGGATTTGGGGGAAAATTTGGGGGGATTTGGGTGAGTGGGTGCAACGAGCTTGGGATTCCCAGGAGTTTTTGGGGTCCCCGGGGTGGTTTTGGGGGTCCCGGGGTGGTTTTGGGATTCCCAGGAGTTTTTGGGGTCCCCGGAGGGGTTTTGGGGGTCCCGGGGGGTTTTGGGGTGACCCGGGGTGGTTTTGGGGTGCCCCTCACTGACCATCCATGGAGTGGACGGACTCGAAGGCGACGATTTTGGGGACCCCGGGGGGGCTGCGCCCCAAGAGCTCGTCCAGGTGCTGGGGGTCGTTGTGGCGGAAGACGAATTTGGGGGCGCCGCTGCGCAGGATGCCCTGCACCATCGAGGCGTGGTTCCCCGCGTCCGAGAAGAACTGGCAGCCTGGGGGCACCCCAAAAACACATCAGCGCCCCAAAAAAACCCCAAAAACACATCAGCGCCCCAAAAAAACCCCAAAAATCCATCAGCGCTCCAAAAACCCATCAGCGCCCCAAAAAAAACCCCAAAAATCCATCATATCCCCCCCCAAAACCCCCAAATTCATCAGCGCCCCCCAAAAAAGCCACCCGGGAATTGCTCTGAATTTCAGCGCCCCAAAAACTCCCAAAAATGCTTCAGCGACCCCAAAAAACCACCCTGGAATTGTCCTGCCCTTGAGCACCCCAAAAAACCCCAAGAGACCCCTCAGCGCCCCAAAACCCCCGCCCCAAAGTCCCCAAAGCCGTTCAGGGTTTTTGGGGTCCCGTGATGGGGTTTTGGGGGGGGTGTCTCCCTGGTTTTGGGGGGAGGGGCTGAAGTGGAGCGGATTTTTGGGGTTTCCCAGCGGATTTTTGGGGTTCCCAAGAGGATTTTTGGGGTTCTCACAACTTTTCCCTCCCCCCAGCGATTTTTGGGGCGGCTCCCACCCAACTCACGGATCCCGCTCAGGATTTTTTTTCCTCCCCGTGGGTTTTGGGGTTCCCACTGGATTTTTCGGGATCCCACTGGATTTTTGGGGTCCCCAAGAGGATTTTTGGGGTCCCCAAGAGGATTTTCGGGGATTCTCACAATGGGAACCTCACAACTTTTCCCTCCCCCCAGGGATTTTTGGGGCGGCTCCCACCCAACTCACAGATCCCGCTCAGGATTCTTTTTGCTCCCCGCGGGTTTTGGGGTTCCACTGGATTTTTGCGGTGCCCAGCGGATTTTTGGGCTTCCCAAGAAGATTTTTGGGGTCCCCAAGAGGATTTTTGGGCTTCCCAAGAGGATTTTTGGGCTTCCCAAGAGGATTTCTAGGGTCCCCAAGAGGATTTTTGGGGTTCCCAAGAGGATTTTTGGGGATTCTCACAACGGGAACCTCACAATTTTCCCTCCCCCAGCGATTTTTGGCGCTTTCCCACCCAACCCACGGATCCCTCTCAGGACTTGTTTCGCTGCCCGCGGTTTCGGGGTCCCGCGGGGGTTTGGGGCGCCCGGCAGCTGCGGGGGTGCGGGTACCTGGCAGCAGCCGTGCCAGCGTGGCCAGCGCGGTGTCGTTGGCGGCGAAGCACGAGGAGAAGAGGCAGGCGCGGGGCTGGCGGTGCAGCCGGGCCAGGGCGCGCTCCAGCGCCCCGTGCAGCGGCGCCGTGCCCGCGATGTTCCGGGTGCCGCCCGCGCCCAGCCCGTGAGCCGCCAGAGCCGCCCTGGGCAGGGGAAATTCGGGGTGTTTGGGGGGGATTTTGGAGGGTGGTTGGGGGGATTTGGGGAGGTTTGGATGGATTTGAGGGGAATTGGGGAAGGATTTTGAGGGGTTTGGGGGGGATTTGAGTAGGTTTGGGAGAGATTCGGAGGGGGTTTGGATGGATTTGGGGGGGATTTGGGAAGGATTTCGGAGGGTTGAATGGGATTTGGGAGGTTTTGAGGGGATTTGGGGGGATTTGAAGGGGTTGGAGGGGATATTTAAAGGAATTTCAGAGGATTTTGGGGCTATTTAAGAGAATTTCAGGAGATATTTCAGAGGATTTTCCGGCGATTTCAGGGGATTTCAGGGATATTTAAGGGAATTTTAGGGGATATTTTAAGGAATTTCAGGGTATTTGGGGGAATTTCAGGGAAATTGAAGGGAATATCAGGGAATTTAAGGAAATTTCAGACGATTTTGGGAGTATTTATGGGGATTTCGGGGCTATTTCAGGGATATTTTAGGAAATTTAAGGGAATTTTAGGGGATTTAAGGGGATTTTGGGGCTATTTAAGGCTATTTATCGGGATTTTGGGGCAATTTCAGGGGATTTCAGGGATATTTAAGGAAATTTACTGGAATTTCAGGGGATTTAAGGGAAATTAAGGGGATTTAAGGTGATTTTGGGGCTATTTCAGAGGATTTCGGGGCTATTTATGGTGATTTTGGGGCTATTTAAGGGAATTTCAGGCGATTTTGGGGCTATTTAAGGCTATTTATCGGGATTTTGGGGAAATTTCAGGGGGTTTTGGGGATATTTAAGGGAATTTCAGGGATATTTAAAGAAATTTACTGGAATTTCAGGAGATTTAAGGTGATTTTTGGGCTATTTCAGCAGATTTCAGGGGATTTTGGGGCTATTTATGGGAATTTAAGGGGATTTCGGGTCTATTTCAGGGGATTTCGGGGCTATTTAAGGGAATTTCAGGTGATTTTGGGTCGATTTCAGGGGATTTCAGGGCTATTTATGGTGATTTTTTATGGTGATTTTGGGGCTATTTAACAGAATTTCAGGTGATTTCGGGTCTATTTCAGGGGATTTCGGGTCTATTTGTGGTGATTTTGGCGCTATTTAAGGAAATTAAATTTCAGGCGATTCCAGGTCTATTTCAGGATATTTATGGTGATTTCGGGGCTATTTACGGGAATTTAAGGGGATTTCAGGTCTATTTCAGGGGATTTTGGGTCTATTTGTGGTGATTTTGGCGCTATTTAAGGAAATTTTAGGTGATTTCGGGTCTGTTTCAGGGGATTTCGGGTCTATTTCAGGTGATTTCGGGGCTATTTAAGGGAATTTCAGGCGATTTCGGGGCTGTCTCAGGGGATTTCGGGTCTGTTTCAGGCTATTTATGGTGATTTCGGGGCTATTTAAGGGAATTTCAGGCAATTTCGGGGCTGTTTCAAGTGATTTCAGGTTTGTTTCAGGCGATTCCGGGGCTGTTTCAGGCGATTTCGGGGCTATTTAAGGGAATTTCAGGTGATTTCGGGTCTGTTTCTGGGGATTTCAGGCGATTTCAGGTCTGTTTCAGGTGATTTCGGGTCTGTTTCAGGTGATTTCGGGTCTATTTCAGGGGATTTCAGGTGATTTCAGGTCTGTTTCTGGGGATTTCGGGTCTGTTTCTGGGGATTTCAGTGCTATTTAAGAGAATTTCAGGTGAATTCGGGTCTGTTTCAGGTGATTTCGGGTCTATTTAAGGGGATTTCAGGCGATTTCGGGTCTGTTTCAGGGGGTTTCGGGGTAACGCGGGTGTCTGGGTTGTGGGGTGCCCACCTGGCGGCCCGCAGCACCTCGGGGTGCCGGCTCATGCCCAGGTAATCGTTGGAGCACCAGAGCTGCACCAGGCGGGGGGGGGTCCCCAGGAGGGCGCTCGGGGGGTCCCGCGCGCGCCGCGCCAGCGCCGTGAACTCGCGGTAGGTGTGGGAGCGGCGCAGCCCCGCCAGGCGCGCCCCCAAAACCGCCTCGTACGGGAAAGCGTCCTCTGGGGGGGCACAGGGGTCAGGGGGGAGCCCCGAAATCATCATAACCCCAAAACCGCACCCCGAAACTGCCCCGAGCCCGAAACCGCACCCCGAAACTGCCCCGAGATCGAAACTGCACCCCAAAAAAACCCCGACCCTAAAACTGCATTCCAAAACCCTCCAGATACCCCAAAACTGCCCCGAGCCCGAAATCCTACAGAGACCCCCCAAAACCGCCTCGTATGGGAAAGCGTCCTCTGGGCGGGGGGAAAGGGGTCAGGGGGGAGCCCCAAAACTGCCCCGAGCCCGAAACCGCACCCCAAAAACACCCCGACCTTAAAACTGCATCCCAAAACCCTCTAGAGACCCCAAAACTGCACCCCGAAACTGCCGCGAGATCGAAACTGCACCCCAAAAAAACCCAACCCTAAAACTGCACCCGAAAATCCTATAGAGACCCCAAAACTGGACCCCAAAACTCTCCAGATACCCCAAAACTGCACCCCGAAACCGCCCCGAGATCGAAACTGCACCCCAAAAAAACCCAACCCTAAAACTGCACCCGAAAATCCTACAGAGACCCCAAAACCGCACCCCAAAACCGTCCAGATACCCCAAAACGACACCCCAAAACCCACCTAGAGACCCCAAAACTGCACCCCAAAAACCTCCCGAGACCCCAAAGCTGCGCCCCAAAAACGTACAGAGACCCCAAAACTGCACCCTAAAACCCTCCGGGGACCCCAAAAAACTCCCCCAGCCCCTCAAATCCCCCCCGGAGACTCCCCAGATTCCCCAAATCCCCCCTAAATCCCCCCCAAAATCCACCTCAAAATACCCAAACCCCCCGAACCCCCGGTACCGGGGCGGGGCGGTACCGAGGTGCGGGCGGGCCGGGGCCGTGCCCAGCGCTCGCAGCAGCCGCGGGTTCCGGGCCAGGACGGGGCAGCGCAGCAGGGCGGCCATGGGGGAGCTGGGGGGCAAAAAGAGGGGGGGTCAGGGGGTGTCCGGCACCCAAAAACCCCAAAACCCCCCCCAAAAAACCCCAAATCCCATTGGTGCTTCCTATCCCCCAAACAGCCCCAAAATCCCCCGAAATGCCCCCAAAACCCCACAAATCGCTGAGAGGGGACAAAAAGGGGGGTTCAGGGGTGGTCTTGCACCCCAAAAACCCCCAAAAAACCCCAAAAATTCATCTCACCCTTCTCATCCCCAAAACAGCCCCAAAATCCCCCGAAAACCCCCCAAAATCCACTCAAATCCCCCCAAAACCCCACAAATCGCTGAGAAGGGATAAAAAGGGGGGATCAAGGGGGTCCAGCACCCCAAAAACCCCAACCCCCCCAAAAATCCCCCCGGGACCCCAAAACCGCGGAGGGGGAGGGGCCGAGACAAGAGGACCCCAAATTTCCCTTCCTCCCCCACCCTGAGCCCCTTTTTGGGGGGGATTTTGGGGGACCCCCGCCCCAAATCTGCCCCTCCTCCCTTTGGGGGGGCTCTGGGGTTTTGGAGGGTCTTTGGGTTTTGGGGGGGCTCTGGGGGGTTCTGGGGATGCTTTGGGAGCCCCAAAATCCCTCAAATCGCTGCGAGGGGACAGAAAAGGGGGAGTCGGGGGGCGTTTTTGGGGTGCCCTGACCCCCGCGCCCCCAGGACCCCGAGCGGGGCCGGCCGTGCCGCGCGTGCCGCGAGCTCTGCCCCGGCTTCCAGGAGCACCCCTGGAGGTGAGCCAGGTTTGGGGTGCCCCATCGTCCGGGCTGCCGCGGGATTTGGGGTGTCCCGGGGATGGGAGGGGGATTTTGGGGTGCCCCTATTCCCGGATTTTGTGGAGCCCCATGACCGGATTTTGGGGCGCCCCCTTTCCCGGATTTTGGGGTGCCCCACTCCCGGATTTTGGTGTCCCCCATTCCGGGATTTTGGGGCGCCCCATTCCCGGATTTTGGGGCGCCCCCATTCCTGGATTTTGGGGTGCCCCATTCCCAGATTTTGGGGCGCCCCCGTTCCCAGATTTTGGGGTGCCCTATGACCGGATTTTGGGGTGTCCCAGTTATCAGATTTTAGGGAGCCCCTAGGCTTTGAGGGGGATTTTTGGGTGTCCCCGATGGGATTTTGGGGCACCCCATTGCAGAGTTTGGGGTGACCCTTCACCTGAAATTTGGGGTGCCCCTTCATCAGATTTTGGGGTTCCCCATTATCAAAATTTGGGGTGTCCCATGACCGGATTTTGAGGCGTCCCATTATCAGATTTTGGGGTGCCCCATTCCCAAATTTTGCAGTGCCCCATGAGCAGATTTTGGGGTGCCACATCACCAAACTTTGGGGTGCCCCGGATTTCGGGGTGTCCCCTGACCGATTTCGGGGCGCCCCCAGGAAGATCTGCCAGCACTGCAAATGCCCGCGGGGGGAGCACGTGGGGGGCGGGGTCCCCCCGGCCCTGCAGGGGGTCCTGGCCCGGCTGCTCCCCGAGTCCCCCCCCCCCCCCGGCTCCGAGGACTCGGGGTGCTCGGCCGAGGAGTTCGCCTGGGCCCCCCCCGGCCTCAGCCCCGACCAGGTAACCCCCCAGAACCCCAAAACCTGAGGGATGGAGACCCCTCCCCATCTGTGCCCCCCACCCCCCCCGGGACCCCAAAACC